GAGAAAGAGTTCTTCAGCGACCATGGCATCCGATCATTGTCAAAATATCACAAAGAACACCCCTTCTCCATGGAGGTCAACGGGCAGAAGTTCGAGGTTGGATACATCCCTGGAGACTCTGACAGTGGTCTTTTTGGTGGAAACAGTAATTGGAGAGGTCCGATCTGGCTGTGCGTCAACTTCCTCTTGGTAGAGTCTCTGCAGAGATTCTTCCTCTTCTATGGACACGAGTTCCAGGTGGAATGCCCCACCGGGAGTGGTGATTACATGCACTTGGGCAAGGTTGCAGAGGAGATCCAGCATCGTCTCCAGCATCTGTTTGCTCGTACCGACGATGGAAGACGTAGCATCAACGGCGGCGATGATCGTCTCGATTTTGATGAACACTGGAAGGACTACCTTTGGTTCCACGAGTTCTTCGATGGTGATAGTGGCCGAGGACTCGGTGCTACTCACCAATGTGGTTGGACGGGTCTGATCGCCCGAATGATTCACGATACCGGGTAAGTCTTGCTCAAGAATGCCTTGAATTAGTTCCCCCTAAAGAGTTAATGCTAACTGAATCCTCAGTGTGAACTGCCGACTTCCCCAAACACCCAGAGAGCCAACTGCCACCATGGCCCATTACTTCGACGATGTCTTCCAGCGAAGAATCAACGCCGGAACCCCCCACCCCTCTGGGAACATGCGCATCCGGCGATCATCCACCTCTCGCTCAATTGGCGCGAGAAGCGACTTTTCGCTCAACGGGGTGGATGTGGATGATGATGACGGTGATGCGCACTCTACTACCGCATCTGTCTTCCCAGATGACCCGGAGCGTGCTCGCCAGAGGTCAGAGGCGGACTCTCACATGCACCAGTACATATCAGACCAGCTTGAACGCTACAGGATTGATCAGACCTCCAATGAATACGAACAGGATCTTGAAACCGACGCAAAATTAGGATGAGTGGCGCTTGGACATGGGCTAGATTTTTTGTTTGTTTTGTATACGGAGAACAGATGATGGCTGATCTCATTCCTCGAGTTCAACATAAAACCGCAATTTACAGTTTAGGATAGAATAAAATACATGGGATATTCAACGGTGCCTTTTCTGATACCGCATGCTTGTCGATTTAACAACATATCACCACGGATGTCTTCATCGTCATCTTGGTCAGGGGAAGTCCATATAAGACGTTGTACTGAAATAAGAAACCCCTCTGACTTTCAGCAGGAACATGGCATGGCTGTATTATCTAGCTTCTCATCCAAGTAAAGAACAAAGCCAGGGCATATGGCTCAAGGCTGCCTCTACTCTCCCGCAAACCCCTGCAACGGCACATTCGGAATAACAAGCACCCAAAATATTGCGAGCCATTGGTCTTTTTTTTATACATGGCACAAAGGGAAAAAAAGGGAAGTCAATTGACTTTATAGAGTGCTAGTAGTAGTATAGACGAAGTGATATTTTACAGGCTGTCCGTCAAGAGCTTGTTCATCTTGGCGATGCGGGCGGAGACGCTGAGGTCGATGGTTCGGTCACCGATCTCAACGACGAGTCCACCGACGATCTCAGGGTTGACCTTGGGGGGGGGCAGGGTTAGCTGGCGCACTTGCAATGCCGGGCAATTAAGTTAGACGAGAACATACAGAGTTGGTGACCTTGAGGGTCTTGCCGGGGCCGACGTAAGCGGACTTGGAGACGGCGTTGGAGAGACGGTTGAGAGTTCTGTTGTCGAGGCCCTGCATGACGAAAACGTTAGAGAGTTCCATACACAGCAGCACACCTTCAATATGCATCGCAATTCCCATGTCCATAGAGCTCCGGATCTTGTCGCAGGATTTGGCTTGTTGCAAGGCAAGGGTCGAAAACCTACCTGAGCGCTGGTGATCTTGAGCTCAACCTCGCCGCGGGCGGCGGCGACCAGCTCGGAGAACTTCTGGCAGACGCCGCCGAGGAGGCCCAGGCGGTTGTTCTCGGCGAGGGTCTCGAGGAAGTTCTTGACGGTGGGGTCGCTGGCGCCGGCCTGCTTGGTGAGCTCGGCGACGATGTCGGACTTGTCCTTGGGGGTCAGGGTAGGGGCCGACAGGATGGAGGCGAGCTTGGCGTCCTTCTCGAGGAGGGCGCCGAGCTTGGTGATGGCGTTGGCGGTGGGATCGAGGGCGGAGGACTTGGAGGCGGCCGTGTACTGGTAATTGACGCAGAATGTGTTAGCTAAGTATTTTCCACCACCTCGCGTGCCGTTCCCCCGGTTCCGTCAATTGGAGCTTTCGGCCGGGGTAAAAAAGCGCCCAATTGATCGCGGAGAGGCCAATTCCACCGAAAATCTCATCTTGCGTTCGGAGTGCGCGCGTACCAGAGCAGTGGCATAGGTGCCATCGAGGCCGAAGACAGCCTTGGGGGGCTTGACGTCGGCGCTGGCAGCCGCGGCAAAGGACCGCACAGGCGTTGATCGCAGGGCGAGGGCACGCTGGGGGGCAGCAGCCCGGACGGAACGAAGAGCTTGTCGCGAGAACATGGCGGTCGTTTGGCGGAGGAAGGTTGGGGTTGCTGGAAGGAGGTCGTGATGATGGCGTCCGGCTTGTTCTCGTTGGAGACTGTTGCACTTCGGCAATTTTGAATTCTTGTTGCCTTACTGGATCTTCCGATCTAAGGCATCAACATCCTCTTTCCCCACCAGTCAACTGTGATTACATAATAGAAGCTATGCGATGCCGGGGGGGTGTCAAAAAAACAGGGACAGCAAAAGCGATTTCATATCTTAGTTCTGACGAAAGACAGAATATCTAGAAACGATAGCTTAAAATTTAATAACTTTCCAAGGTTGAGTGCTACTTCTGCACCGTGGAAAGTAAGAAAACTAGTACTATGCCGATGCTCTTCTCTATCAGACTTTTCGAGGTCCCTGTTATTCTGACAGCCACATGCCCGCTATTATAGGCCGCCGTATAGACATATCAAGTTTGGGGTAGCGAAACATTGAGGATTCAGGCATTTGGACAGCCAGTGAAAAAAAATCAAATGTTACCAAGCCTATGTGAAGTCTGGATTTCTTCCTTCGCTTGATACAACGATGTGTGTTCTTGTTCCTCAATTGGAATCATATCTAACCTGTACCAAACCATGCTCCCTGTATCCCTGAAACAAAATCCCAAACGCCGCAAACTCCTCGTGCCCTTAGAGCCTTGTATACATGAAAGTACGCCAAGCCGGATATTTGAAAGCCAGTCTAGTCGCTCTTCAACATGCTGTCCACCAAATCACCCAGAGGCCCCCAGTAGTCTCGCCCACTGGCAAGGCCGTGCTCGTCAATGAAAAGCACATACTGCTTAAAGCTGGTGTTGAGGTGTGGCTCAAGTCCCAGCTCCCGAATGACAGGGTAATGGTGGCAGTAAATGTGTGCATAAACGCGGTACATGCGCTTGAAAATCTGGCGGACCAAGGCCGGGAAAGACTTGGGGAATGGGACACCTGGTAAAAAGGGTTAGATAAGCTCAACAGGTTACTTTCGACGATGTCTCAAACATCACTTACCAATCTTGCTGGGCAGGACTTGCTCATTGTCGATGTTAGACTGTACCCATGCCATGAGTTGTTCAATGTAAGCGGGAGCGGGCATCTTGGTTGGCCGCTTGTAGTTCTCGTTATCCTGCCAGAGGTACTCGAATCTAATGTGTTCAGCTGGGGACATTCCAATATATCATGTTCGTGACTGGACCTACTCGTCTGTTGCCTTCATTTCAGGGCAGGATTGTGGAGAGCAGAATTCAGTGATGGCACCGTAGAGGAGGTTGATTTGGTTGTAGAAGTCCACCACTGTTGCCCATCAGTCATATGTCTTGAGGGCGTAACCTGGATGCGGAGCTTACTGTTGACGGCGAGCCATTCGTTCTCATCCTCGCCCTCGGGGAGCTTGACGACCTTCCTCAAACTACCACCCCCCAAGGTGACCTCGGCATACTGTCTGAGTTGGTAGCTGGGTGTACCGCCCTTGCCCAATCGGGGTCGAAATTGGTTCTTGGTCCGCTGGTTGCTGTTTGGGACGAGGGTCCTGTTAGCATTGAACCCATGTGCGAGGACCAGAGGCGGCGGCGGGCTGGGATCGGCAGGAGGAGGGGATGGGGCATCTCTATAGACGGGTATGATGGTGTTGTCGATGCGTTGCATGGTAGCAAGCGACTTGGGGCTTAGGTAACGGAAGACGGATGCCATTGCAGCGACTTGTGAGGCTTGGAGATCAAAGGGAGAGAGACGAACACGGTGGTAAGGAACTGATGAGCCATGGCAGCAGCGTTATGAATGCGACGGGCGGTCGTCAATAATCGGAATCCGGGCTGCGATGCTGCATTCCTGTTGTTAGCGGGGGAACGGTGGGAGGGAATGCTGATTGGAGATACCCACGGCTATGATGCGAACTGGAGAACAGGCACGACGTGATTCTCGAAAAAGAACGCACGATCTGAGGCTACCTGTGATGTGTCCAGCTGCTGGCCAGTAGTTGGGGCAAGGGTTGGGGTGGGCTCGGATGCTGATGATGTACAGGGAAGTTGTAGTAGGTATCGATCAGGCTTTTGGGATGGTGTTGGCCCGCATTGCAGTCGGTTCCTGGTGGGGTGTTTACTTGGTTGCCCGTTTTGGGGCGGTTGCTGGGGGACCGAGGACCTGCTCTCCCACGGCTATTGGAGCCTGTACCCACTGCTGCGGCCCCTAACAGCCCTGTAGCCCACCCAATTGACCTCCAAGGATTGACCAGCAACCATGCATCTGTAGTTGCTCTCGACAACGACATGCATGCTTTTGAGATATGTCATGTGCTTAGGAACTTAATTTACGAAATAATGAGAAAATATTTTCATTAGTCGCAGCGTATTCGATCAACGAGAAGATAGACATTTTCACCAATCAATACGAGACTAGAACTGGCAAAGGGAGTTGCTAGCCAACCAAGCCAGCTATTCTCGTTTGGTTGTAGAATAAGATATTGAAGCCTCCCCGTATTAGTCTTCAAGGCTCATAGATTACCACCTTCCTCCCCGACCTCGGCCTCGGCCTCGACCCCGTCCTCCATGCCCTCCATGCCCTCTATGTCCGCCCCTGTGGCCGCCCCGAGGAGGGCCTCTTCCCTGAAAGCCACCTCGCTGTGATGGTGCTGGGCCTCTGGCCTTCCTTTCAGCCCTCTCCTCAGCACTTGCGTCCCATAGATTCTTTATGCCCAGGAGTGAACAGAACGCCGCAGTCTGGGGGCTCGTATATTCTTCTGGCTGCTCATGAACAATGGCAGGGGTACCATGGACATATGGAGGAGCTGTGATTTCGAAGTTTCTCGGAATCTCGAGTCTATCCTTCTTGACAATGTTCTCATCCACCCACTCCATCTCAGCCTTGATCATTGGTAGATACTGGTCTTCACCAATATTAGGTGGGTTCTGAGCAGCTGGGTCGCCGAATTGAAGCGAATCATGAAAGACTCGTATAATTGCTAGCCATTCAGGGTCATACTCAAATCGGAAGCGAGGCCCTGACGATTGTGGTGGATATTTGGAGGCATCTTCCTCTTGGTGTGGGTGAATTTCGCATAGCTGCAGAAAATGCCTACCAGGAAGGCATTTGTCTAGAGCTAAGAAGCGAACCTCCTTATTCGTAATTGTCTTTGGGATAGGTTGACCTGGCTGACCTATCACCGTCTTCTTGGGGCGGGTGAATGAAGCAGGCAGCTGCGCCCTCAGCTCATCGGAGACACCTTGTGAGTCGGTTTGAGGTTCGCTGCTAGGCGCAGGTTTGGTTGTTTCTGGACCATCTTCCTCATCCAAGTCGAGATCAATTTCATCTGGGTTCCCCGCATCCGCAATTTGCTCGTCTGCTGCCTTAACTTCCTCGCCTATTGTCTGTTGTTGATTTGAGGCGGAGTCGGAGGCTTGTTCGGAAAATGTCTTGAGCGCAGCATATTTGACATGGAGATGTGCGGAAAACCAGTAGGGAGGCCTCAGTCTATCCATGACATACTTGGCACCCTGACTGCCGAGCGTACCATCCTTGGACTCTTGCCTGAAATCTCTCTTCTTTCTGAACAAAGACTCGGAGTCGCCATGCTTCTCAATCTCACGGGGCCAATCATGACTTAACCCAACATCCACTTGAGATTGCACCAGTAAGAGTTTTCGCACATCAATTTCGCGGACATGATAGAACGACTTGACATCGTCGGCGTTAAAGGGAAGGCGTTCATGATGGGGCTTGTTGTAGTCAAAGCCTTTCCAGATGCCAGATAATCCAGCAATTCGAATGGGACCCAAGCGAACGATGTTGGCGGCACCAAGGTAATAAATGTTTGGGGCAACCCAGCCACCGTAATAAAGCTCCCAGAGATGAGAGCTGGCCTCGTGATTGCCGGCAATGAATATGGTCAAATAGGGGGCAGTACGCTCGCCGGAGTAATACTTGGGAAAATCACCAAGTTCGCGGTACTTGACCGGACACGACATGATGGAGAGGTCTTCCGCATTGCGGACTGCCTTGATAGGTCTGTTAGCTATGGACAACAACGTGTGGGCAACCGATTTGATGTAGCAGTAAAGGGATAAGTACCTGAAAATCTCCGCCGATGATGAGCAGATCGACACCATCCCAGCCGCGAACCTCACATGATTTTGAAACCGATGCGTAGATGGCATCCAGGGTGCCATGGCCCTATGAACGGTCAGCGTCTTGCGTGCTGGGCTAACGAAGAAAAGCTCTTCCTCGCCTCTAAATTGTCTAGATTGGGTTCGATCTTACACAACCTTCCACGGCGATACGGACACCCTGTGATTCAAACGCACTAGACGCCATCCTTTGGCCTTTTTTTTATTATACGGGCGATTTCGAGACGCTGCTTGTTTTGTGGAATATCTGAGGTTGCCTGGCCTCGTCTCAGTCCTTCGTAGTAATCCAACTAACCTACAGCGCCAAACTGTCCAAGATGGCACCTGCCTCATCTCCTTGGACCAGTGAGACCAGCAGTTGAATGCCTTAAGGCAAATTCCAGGCACTTTGATCAGTTATAGGTACTCCAGTTTATCACTTAGGATCTCTACCTAGAACATTTCGATTTCGAATGAATGTCCGTTTCTCAGGTAGGCTGCTTAGTCATCTAAAAGGAAACCTCTGCTGTGTCGCCCTGAGAAGACAGCACCCAACAACATGATGTTTGTAATTGTGATCACACTAGAACGAACTAAGGTACTAGAATCACCGGTGAAAAGAGAATTAAGACGGGACATGTATTGATTTCTGACTGGCATGTCTTCTTCATACTGCATGGTGCGAGTGCAGTGCACTTTCTACTAAAATGTATCCCTACAGAAAAAGCGAAATCCCAATGCGATTGCAACTGAGTCACGCAGAGTGAGAGGGAGGTATCAATATTCCATCTCTAATAGACGTTCGGCCCACGGAAGAACTGAAGAGCAGAACGCATATGCTGAAATGGGTGTTTTAGGCAAATTGCTGTCAAACATTTGGGGAAGGAATAGCTATGTGGATGGTTACACCATAAAGACGGACCGAATGCTGCTAGTCGTTTGCGGCATGAGGTGATTGAACTTTGCAGTGTCTATTATCGTATGGTACCCTACCGTCTAACGCCAATGGAGTTCAAAAGTCATATCTCATTCATTTACCGTTCAAATTCACACTAGGATTGTCAGCAACGAATGGATCACATGGATATCATGTGGTTTTGCTCACTGGTCCAGACCAAGATAGTCGGCAGCAGCAAGGAGTTCCAGACAGATTTCCACAGGGATATCCATATCAGGCACATCCTCGCTGTTTCGGTAACGATACCAGTAATGGAAGTACTCGACAATTTTGTCAAGCACAATGGAACTATCAAAAGTTTGTTAGCTTGATATCGGTGTGAGCTTTGAGGTGGTGATAAATAGGAGGGACAGGCAAGTTGGTCAGTTCAAGTGTAGAGGGTGATCAGTCGGAACACGCCAGGTTATCGGGGTTCCGTCAAGAGAAATAACTCAATGTCATCATCCCAGGGTCCCTCATGTGTCGATCTGAGTGGGTTGTGAAGCGTGGAATGTATAAGTAAGGGATTGACCAACCTTATCTCCTGGAAGACACATCGTGCGTGTTTGGCCTCAGCAAATTGGCCTGTGTACAAGGAAACGCAACGAGTAAGCATCGAATAGTAGACCTAGTGGGTTATTCCAAGACGGCGAGTCGCCTTTGTGACATACTCTTCGGGTCCAGCATGCCCTTGACTATAGGGCTGACCATAGCAGCTTCCCGAAGAACAACGAACTCGAAGCCATCGCTCGAGATGAGCGTGACATACTTGCTGGGAGCTTGGACGTCCATCGCGGTTTTGTATGTATGTGCAACTTTACGGCTTGGATCCGGGGGCTCAAGCGAGAAACCGAGAGGGCTCTGGACAGAGACTGGCTGGAGAGTCAAGCGCTTGCTCAACACAATCGACAGCCTTGGGAATCCGACACGGAGGTCTCTCTTGTCTTCTGCGGCTTTCCACACGCACTTGTTTTGGATCCTTGGGAGCTGCAGCAGCTCTGTATGCACGAGTCAACAGTTTCAGAACCCGGGTCCAAGGTTCCACTACTGCAACGGCTGATGCGAGAAGTGTTGGGTGGAAGAAGGAAAGAGAGAGGTTGGTCGAGGCTGGCTGCAAATTAATTTGCGTGCGGAACGGCAAAATCTGGGCCGGGCGCGTAAACACTTTTCTCCGCCTGGGAGCCTGGCAACGGCAGCCCTCACCGCCGCACTCGGGTGGGGCTTTTGGGGGAGGCTTGAGCTGTGTGTGGCGACGAGCGATCGCTGTCGGGTGCCTCTGCAGCGCATTGCAGGCGTTGCTACAGCGAGCCTACAGGGTATCCGCCAGCGCATTGACGACACCCATGCACCGATCCCAGAGCAGCGCACAGGAAAAAGCGGGCAGCGAAAATGCCCTGAGACACAGGACTCGACGTTGCCTCGCCAACGTGTTTACCTCGCACTGGGCCATGCATGACCAGCTATACCCATCCCAAACTCCCACGCCCTGCTCCCGTTCTACATTCCAGCATCAACCAACCTGCATCTTTGCATCTGCCACCTGCAGTCCAAGTGTTCTGTTCGCATCTAGTCGTGTCCACGTATGTGAACACATTTCTTTCAACCGACCCAAACAGCTGCAGCTCCGCCACCAGACGCAAACTCGGCAACTATTATTCCTCACCTATCGCCCTCGAAGCGGCGCAAACATCTGTATTCTTAACACACTCAGTCGGGTATCTTCTTGCTTTTTTGTCTTTCAAAGCGCCCAGGAGGCCACCAGCAGTGTACGAAGGAGACAGAGGCCACAGTAGCCGCATTGACCGACCGCCGGTGACCAGCATTCTTGAAGGGGATTGACGCCTGAGACAAACCCACGATCAGCCGCCCGCCTCACAATGGCGTCGTATCAGTACCGCAACTCTTACTATGCCCAGCCCAGCGGCTTGGAGCACAACTCCAGAGACCAGCGCACGCGCTCAAGCGGGGGAACTGTCAGCACCACAGTCAGCTCATCTAGCGGGCGCGAATCAGCAGGGACACATACGACGGAACCTCCAACTTATTCCAAGAAGATTGTGGTTGTCGGAGATGGAGGGTGTGGAAAGACTTGCTTGCTCATCAGCTACAGCCAAGGCTACTTCCCAGAGGTAAGTGGACAGGATCCTTAGGACACTTGGAATACCAGAACATCTGCTAATGCCAAAAACATAGAAATATGTCCCTACCGTCTTCGAAAATTATATTACGTACCCAGTCCACCCTCCTGACGGGAAGACTGTAGAGCTTGCTCTGTGGGATACGGCCGGCCAAGAAGAATACGACCGCCTACGGCCGCTTTCATACCCTGAAACCGATCTGATATTCGTCTGCTTCGCCATCGACTGCCCCAACTCCCTCGATAATGTGCTGGACAAGGTATGTGCTTCCTCATATTTCTCGATTCCGAAGAGCCACAATAGCTAACATGATACTTTACAGTGGTACCCCGAAGTCCTACACTTCTGCCCTTATACCCCGCTCATTCTCGTCGGTCTCAAGTCGGACCTACGTTATAAGAAGACCTGCATTGAGATGCTCAAGACTCAAGGCCTCACACCCGTTACAACCGAGCAGGGCATGGCGGTGGCCAAGAAAATGAGCGCCCAGTACATGGAGTGCAGCAGCAGGGAGATGGTCGGCGTCGACGAGATCTTTGAGCGTGCCATTCTCACTGTCGTGGCCAACGACCGCAAAAATCTCGAGGCCAACGCCGCCTCGTCAGCTCGCAGGAGCGGCGAGGGCAAGTCGTCGATCCCCGGCGTAGGGGCGCCTAAGAGGAGGAAGCGAAAGTGTCACATTCTCTAAGGGGGGCTCACCTCCGCCACATACGACGGGATGGCTTCGACGGCAGAGGGACGCTCTTGTAATGACCAGTGCATGAAACGACTGACTGATTGATTTTTCTTCTTCTCCTTTTCTTCTCCCTTTTCTATTTTTTTTTATCTTATTTTATGGCGGAACTAGAACAACCTGGCGCATGCCTTGTTTCTCGGAGAGGGCTTTGCTGCGCATTGCATCTCGAGGAAACAAAAAGAGCCCAGGAACACACGAGGGTATATAGGAAGGGATCTTTTGGTCTGCGGGGAGTCGAGACGGCCTTTGAATTTCAAGAGCGGGTTCAAAGGGGATATAATCTGGGGCGTCGTACTCGAACCGGCAGAGCATGCGGATGGATATGTTTTAGGTTCTTCTTGAATTCTTTTCCTTTTGTAGTATCATGGTTGTGTTACGTTGCACTTTATTAGGGATTGGGATAGGAAATACAGCTGATTTTGTTTTGCGTCTATAACCTTTTGCGAACCTCGCGCTTTTAAGATGCAGGTATATCATGTTGACCGTACTCCTTCCTGACTTCGTTCACGCCTTATTATGTATGTCGTTTCATTGGGTTGGATTCACCCCGTCAAGTAGCGTAGCGTAAATCGAGATTGCTTGAATATTTCATGTCATGGTAGTCGTTCATTTGATCGTGATGTCCTCGTCCATGTCCTCGTCCTCGTCTTCAGCTGCCGCCTCCCCCTCCAGATGGCTGTCGTCGTTGTCGTCGTCGTGATGCTGCTCCTCCTCCTGCCGCTGCTGTCCCTCGCCCGCCCGGGGCCCGTCCTCGTCCTTTGCCATTACATTCTCGAACTGGGACCAGAGTGCCTCGACCGACGAGAACTCATTCCCAACCTGTCCTCCCCCAAGATCGTAGTCAGCGTCCAAAAAATTCCAAGTGCCAAGTCGTAGAGTACGGGGAAGGGGGGGTGTTGGTCAACGAACCGCAATCACGGCCTCGAGGGATCGGTTCAGCTTGTTGATGTTGGCGAGCACATGCTCGAAGCTCTAGCAAGCTCGTTGGTCAGCGGTGTGAAGAAACGGCGGTCGACGGAAAGGTCCAGCACGAACCATGGCAATCTCGCCAATGAGGGCCTCTCGCTGCTGTTCAAAGTACGTCTTTTCGCGAGGCTCCATGTTGAAGTTGTCGAGGTTCGGTTGGCGGGCGTTTGATTGACATGCCACAAGGAACGCGGCTGAGGTGGGGGGATTGGTCGCGTCAAGCTGTTAGCCGCCTGTAGCCGCAGCTCTTTACTTCATCATTGGTACAAAGCATCTACCACCAAATACATAGGTAGCGCCAAGAGTGTTTCTTATGACTGGGTACTTAGGTTACCAGAATTTTTCTTTTCTTCCTTTCTTCTTCTTATTTCAGTCATTTTATATTATTTTATCTTCGCTCACAAAAAATCTTTCCATAACGACTAGTATGCTATTTTATCCAAGATCGATTTCCAAGAGCTACAGCAGCGTTGTAATGTGACTTAATGTATATGTTCGTTGCAGAATTATCTATAGCTAGATGCGTTTGAATACCAATACTCGATAAATACCATTTGCCTGGAATGAATGCGAAGAACCGCAATGCCCAATGTCATCATCACCTGCTATGTGTGCCCAAGACAAATGAACCCTCGATCCTTGCGCCATGTCCCGGTATAAAACTGCTGTACAACCTCTCAATTTGAACATTACATAGAAAGCATGGGTATATATGTGCATGCCATGCCGCGACCGATAGACTAACGTTGTTATAAACTATACTCTACAGGAGAGAAAAATAAGAACCAATAAAAACTTATTATAAGGATAGGAGTAAAGGCATATCGAAATCATTACCAAAAGAGTAATGTTGTAGGCAATTGACAACCCGCGGGCCTAGGAATCACCTAAACTGATCCATCCGTCGGTCGTACTCGTGGGGTCGAAGACCATGCGCCACATCCCGGGGGTCTCTTAATTCTCGGGGGTCTCTAAGCTCTCGAGGATCTCTCAAGTCTCGGGGATCTCTCAGTTCTCGGGGGTCTCTCAGGTCGCGGGGGTCTCTCATGTCGCGGGGGTCTCTTAGCTCTCGAGGGTCTCTCAATTCTCGAGGATCTCGGTGCTGAGAATCTCGGAGTTGCAGATCCCGGGGGTCTGGCCCAGAATACCCTCCAGGGCCTTGTGAGGGCGGAGGTCCGCGACCATCATAGGGAGATGGCGTATAACTTCGTGGGGGAAGTTCTCGTGGCGGTTGAGGTCCGGGTCCCGGGCCGGGAGTCGATGCGTATCGTGGATAAGACTGCGATGACGGTGGGCCCGGGTCTGGTCCTCTGGAGGAAGTGGGCGGAGCGTACCGGCCCTGCATTTGATGCTGTTGTTGAGGTACCCCACTGGACGCGTACATTGGCGATCCGCGCTCGTCTCTCAGACCGGTAGAATGATGCGTCTGCTGAGGGGGGGGAGCTGTAGCCCAAGAGCTTGTCGGTCCATTGACGCCTGAGGAGCTAGGGTGCTGAGGAGCCCATGACTGCTGGGGTGGAGGTGGTTGGCTGCTCTTTGGACCTTGAGTTGCCCAGTTAGATGGAGGTGGCTGATGACTAGCTGGTGGCCATGAGTCTCGGGCACCTTGGGGTACGTCTCTTCCCCTCGAGGCTGAGTTATGTACCCCATACTGAGGGGGTGGAGAAGACGCATGTGGTGGTGGTGCTGACCCATACGATGTAGGATAGCCTTGACCCTGATATCCCATTGGGGGCTGGCCTGAAGGTTGAAAGCGATGCTGATGCTGAGGAGAGTTGCTTGCGCTGGGCTGATGACCAGCTGGGTATGCGTGCTGTCGATAGTAATCTTGATCTCTCAAGGCTGGAGACTCAGAGCCTAAGCCCAGCGCAGAACGGGGGCCACCTGAGGCTTGTGGTTGAGACGAAGCCGCGTAAGTAGGCTTGAGAGGCGGCATAGCAGATGCTGGTCCGGGTTGCGGCCTGCCATAAGGAGAGTACGGGGGTTCTTCTCGGCGTAGTGGTGCCGGTTGAGGGGCTTCTCTTGGCGAAGGTCGCCCCATTGTCTGGGGCGGAGGGGTTGGCGAGGGCCTGGAAGACTGGCCGGAAACATCGCTCATGCGCTTGGGCGGCGGGGGATCATCGTTCAATAGCGACATAATGCTGGATGCCTTGCGAGGCTCTGGAGGTCTAGGAGGGGCGGCAGCCGGTGTTGGTGGTGCAGACTGTGGTGGAGCTGAGCCATACACATCTTGGCCAGGACCACCTGGCATTCTCTGCTGGAGCACAGAAGGCGGCCTAGAGCCAGGAGGAGCCAGGGGTGGAGGTGAAGATTGAGCTGGAGGAGCATCACTTAGGATGCTTCGCACTGGCTGTGATCCAGCCTGCAAGGGCGCATAAGCTGAAGGAATCCCATGCCTAGGTGGCTCATGCCTGAGTGACTCGTGCCTGAGTGGCTCATGTCTGGGTTGTTCGTGTCTAGGCTGCTCGTGCCTGGGTTGTTCATGCCTGGGCAGCTCGTGCCTGGGGATCTCTTGCGTATGTCGGGGCAAAGCCAGCGGATCATTTCTTGGAGGAAGCGTTGGCGGACGATGACCAAACGGCTCGTATTGGCGTGGGGAGAGGGGGTCTGCTTCCGGTTTGATTCTCATCGGTCGGCGGTCTTGTTGCCGAACCATTTCCCTCTCCCTCTCCCGCTCTATCCTATCACGCTCGCGTTCTCGTTCGCGCTCCATCTCTCGCTGCTGCAACTCCATTTGCTGCCTCTCGGGGCCGAGTTCAGGCTGTGGCGGCTGCATATGTTGTGTGAGAGGAGCATGTCGTTGCTCTCGAAGTTGCTCTCGAACATCCTGGGGAGGGATGGGTTGTTTTGCCCCTGGCAATGCAACACGTTGAGGTGGTTCCCTGTCTCGGTCATGGAACGAGAATGGAAGAGAGGGCGCTCTCCGAGATCGAGCACCAGGAGACATGACCGGGGGTGGTGGCTGAGAAACTGCAGGCTGTTGCTGTATTTGCAGTGGTTGCTGACCGCGTGCTGGCACAGCTTGTGCCTGTGCCTGTGCCTGAGCCTGAGCCTGAGCTTGGGCTTGAGCTTGGATCTGAGCATGAGCCTGGGCCTGTGCATTGGCCCGAGCCTGGGCCTGTTCCTCCGGTGTGCCGTTGATTGGGTATCCAAATGCAGGAAAAGTTGGTGGTCTGCTGGGCTGCACACCCGCTTCGGTCTTGGGTTGGGCTGCCTCCGGCATCAAATCCGCATTGCCAGGTGCAGGGACAAGTGGTCGAGATGCGTTCGTACTTCCGGAGCTCTCGTATCGTCGGCCGCGGCCGCCACTGGTTGGCATTGGTGGCTCGGGCCGCTTCTCGCCGCGTTCTCGTTTTGCGTCTGCTTCACGCATGAGCTGCTCCCATTCGGGTTTCCCGTGATCCTTTTGTCGGACGAAATAGTTCTTGACCTATGGCACGAAACGTCTTGATTAGCACATGTTTTGATAGGTACTCTTAAGTGGTAAATACATACCATAACTGCCGTCTTGGATCCCATATGAGCAGCAATAGCTGCCCAATCAGACCCGAATGCCCTAAGTAGAAGTGGGAAGTCGTTGGATTCGGATACACTCCAATAGCTTGACGCTTGTGTCGGGGCCTTCCGCTCTTGTTGAGGCTGTGTCAGGTTAAATGTAGCCATGGCCGGCTGTGGCGGTGGTTGAGGGGGTTCTGGCCGCAAAGAGGGAGCTGCGATAACATCTGTAATCGAGGAACTTGTAGGCAAAGCCTGCTGGCGCTCCATAGTTTGGGGCCGAGGCTCCTGCTTTGGTTGCTGAACAGAAAAAGCATGCTGGACTCCCGGATGCTGTTGCTCAAATTGAGGGGGCGGGCCACGGCCCTCAGTGGGAGTTCCTGCCTGAAGTTCCATACTGTGTCCCTTATTGTCTGACCTTGAGCGTGATCTGCCAGTCCCAGGTGCTGGAGCAGCAGCCAGAGCTTGATTAGGTTTGGGTTGCTTCGGCTCCTTGTCCTTGGATGCCTTTGATCTTCTGCCTCTCCGACCATCGACCTTTTCTTCCCCCTTGACAGAAGCACCGCGCCGGCCAGGAGTACTGGCAGGGGTGCCATTTTCCGACTCTGTGTTGGGTGGCTGTTCAAAGCCCCAAGTAGGAGCTGCGGCCCGTCGAGGACGGCGTCTGCTCTCCCCGTTCTCCCCATTCTCGTGGTTCTCCTCCGTTTCTGGTTCGCCGTTGCCAAGTTCAGATACGAGGGCACTTGACCTTTGCTTCCCTCTGCCCTTCTTGCGCCTCTTAGGCTGTCTCCTGAGCTTCTCCTTGAGCTTCAACTCTTTCTTCATGAGATAATAATACTGAATGCATGCGCCAAAGTCACGATGGGGAATCGTCTCGGCAATTCTGCCCCATTGTTTCGGCACCTCCAGATATCGTTTTTCAAAGAGCTCAACTTCTTGCTCGGTGAAGTTGTTGACTGGAGGAAGAACATGCCACGCAGACGCAAGCTCGCTTTGGTTGACGAAACCTGACCGGTCGTAGAACTGAACTCTAGCCTTATCTTCCGCATCCCAGTACATGTCAGGTATCACAGCCTCCTTTTCACTCCGATACTTCTCTTTCTGGGCTCTCAATTCACGTTCCCTTCTCTCATCCTCTTCCCGCATCGACGCCTGTAAGACTCGCTCAAGATCACGCTCTGAAGCAAAACGCCTACCACTAGTTCTCCCTTCAGGCTTAGGCTCTGGAGTTGCAAGCCCGGCAACTTCGGTTGACGGGCCCGAGACAGAAAATTTGTCACGACTCTTGGCAGCAACAGGATCAGTCGACAACGTGAATTTGAGGTACTTGGTGTAGCTATCACGGTACGCTTGTTGCCCCTCCGTAGTCTCTTTGGTTTTGGTAATGTGCATGTCCTCTAAATGCCCAAGAATGAAATCTTCCATTCCAGTATCTGCATCAAGTGATGCAAGGTAATCGCTGTCCTCGTGCCATGGTCCCACACTGGGTTGTGGAAGACCATCAATCGGGGGTGTAACATTGTACCTTCGCGTCGCAGCAGGGTCAAGATATGCCTCGTCCTCGGACTCTGTTTCATCATCGTCGCCTTCGTCCTCGACCTGCGATGGCGTGCTAGGAACTTTCACTTCAGACGCTGTGATTTCCATGAGAACGCTTGGAATAGTTTCTGCAGGCGGGGCAGCAGGTTCCACGGGAGCATTATTGTCGTCATTCTTGGCAGGTGCCAGGAGAGGAGACTTCGGGCCACTCTCTTCGTGCGTTACTTCAGAATCAGCTGGAGCTGGCGGAGGTGTTGAAGGTACCGAGGCTGATGGAGCAGGTGGTGGTTCCTTAACTTCAACACTGTCAATCTCCATTTCCTCAGATTTCGGTTCGATTCGAAGGTCCTGAGTCTCCGGCTTTAGAGTGCTATCGCTTTCCACTGCCACGTTCTCACCAGCATCGTCTGATTGCATTACTGTGTCTGTGTCGGGTTCTGGAACGGGATTCGGAGCTAAGGGTTCCTTCACCACCGGGACCTCTGCCATTTCAACTTCTGTGGAGATTACCTTCTCCTTTCTCTCTGCATTCTCGTTGGTCGGTTCCTCGCTTCTGGCCGCATTCTCGGTCGTGGGTAAGTTTTCCTTGACAGGAGAGGGCTCCCTTGCGGTCAACGGTTCCTTTGTGGCTGGGGATTCCTTTGCAATTGACGGTTCCTTCGAGATCGATGGCTCTTTTGCGACTGAGTGTTCTCTTGGGACTGAGTTTTCTCTCGCGACCGAGCGTTCTCTTGCAACGGAGTGTTCTCTTGCGACTGAGTGTTCCTTAGCAGCTGAGTGTTCCTTAGCAGCCGGGGATTCCTTAGCAATTGGGGCTTCTTTAGCAATTGGGGCTTCCTTAGCAACTGGGGATTCCTTAGCGGCCTGGAGTTCTTTGGCTACCGAGGATTCTTTGGCCTCCGACGATTCTTTGGCGACCAAGATTTCTTTTGCAATGGAAGAATCCTTAACGACCAGGTCTTCCTTGGGAGCCGAGACCTCTGGAGGAGCGGCCTTCACCTTGGACGGTGCATCTTTCACCACAAGTGAGATTTCCTTGGCGGGTGGCTGTTCCTTGGGAATTGCTGGTTCTTTTGGTTCGTTCACAGCTGGCTCTTTCAAATCTTTGACAACTGGTTCTTTCGATTCTTTAGAGGCCGATTCTTTCGGTTCTTTGGAGGCCAGTTCTTTCGGTTCTTTGGAGGTTACTTCTCTCGGCTCTTTGGAGGCTAGTTCTGTCGGCTTGCTCGAGGTTGGTTCTTTCCGTTCTTTCGAAGCTGGTATTTTCCGTTCCTTTGAAGCTGGTTCTTTCAGTTCCTTCAGAGTTGATTCTTTCAGTTCTTTCGAGACTGGTTCTTTCGTAGCTGGCTTTACGACCAAAGTCTCCTTAGCAGTTGCGCTGTCTTTGGCAGAGGAGATTCCTTTGGGAGCCACTGCATCTTCTCGACGAACAAGTACATCCTTTTTGGGCAGAGTAACTTCCCGTGCTGGGATGCTGCTGGCGGGTGTCGGTGCAGTTTCAATGTTCTTTTTCGACTTGTGAAGCTTCTCCGGTACCTTCCCAAGTAAGCCTTCCAGGTCGTCCCCTTCGTTCAGTATCTTGACCATTGCCCCGTGGGAGATGGCAGCATAATGCGCTACTACTTCCATCGGAAGGGTTGGCTTTTGTAACGTGCTCAACACGGCCTCGGTTTTCTCTATCTGCATAGCAAAATAGTCGCTCATGTCCTCATCGTCGTCATCGGAATCCCAATCTTGATCTGGCGCGGCTTGAGGTTTCGGTGGCAAGGCAAACCGGACAGCGCGGAGATGAGGTCGCTTTCGCTTCTTCAGATTGCTCTCTTTCGGTCGACTTTCTTCCTTTGGATAATTGCCATTCATCTGTCGAGCCCCGGGCGATGTAGTGTAGTTCTCCTTGTCCCTTGTGTCGTCGCCCTTGATCGATAGCGAGAGGCGTCTGTATTCATCAGATCCGGCCACCATGTGCCAATCGTTGTCGGTTTTGGACATGATTTCACCAGGCTCTGCACTGTAATGGGATCGGTTTCGGGTTTCTGAGTCAGCAAAGTCAGAAGCGGCCTTTGAATCACTACTCTGAGGCCTCCTGTCCGGCAAACCTTGGTCTGACGGCATACTCTCCCGTCGGGGAGGGCCAGTTCGTGGCTGCGTAAAGGTCTGGGACCTCATAAGCTTAGGCGAATCCGGGGCTTTCTTCAGACTAGGGTTAATCCATTGCTTGCTCGACGGCCGCTGAACCTTCTGTTGTTGTGCTCGGGGCCCCAAGGGAATTGCTGGACCTTCATGGGGCAAGGGCGGCTTGTTGGCGGGTCCAGTTGGGGCCATAGGGGGCTCCTGGCCAAGTGATGGTCTTTGTTCACCGAACGCCCTCGGGGCTGTTGGAGGAGGCTTGCCGGTTCCTGCGATGCTCAACTGGCTCTCTCCAATGCTTGGAGGGCGGTTTGGCACTGACCCGAAGGCCGGAGCAGACGGTGCTACAGGAGGAGGGGATACATCCCGTTTGGGAGTACCAGAGTCCAGAGGGTTCCCACGGGCGTCTAGCTTCGGACGGATCAAATCCAAGGGCCTGTCTCGCTCATCACGAGGATCTCTGGGGCGCATATCCGCATCAGGATATCTGTCTCCTCGTTCTCGCTCATCCCGCTCGCGTCCCCAGCGACCTTCCTGAGATCGACTTCTAGGGTAACGGTCTCCACGGTCGTCGAATGATGCTCGTCCACGGTTCCGGTCGCCCATCCAATCTCCTCTTCCACCTCTACCACCCCTTCCGCGAACAAACGACCCACCACGTTGGAGTGGTGGGGGTCCAAAAGGCGGCTCGGATATTGGCGAGCCTCCTGACAATGGGCCATCCCGTGAGTTGCGGCGCGGTCTATCAGCATCAGGTCCTGGAGGTCCATCTCGGTCTCGATCGCGGATAAAGTCTCGTGGCGGGGAGCGTGCTCTGCCTATGGGGGAGCGCCGTGAACGATAGGGATCGCGCCATTCTCTCTCCCGGTCTCTATCCCGTTCTCGGTCGCGTTCTCTACTCCTCTCGTCGCGAAAGCGGTCGCGGAATTCAACGTCCCTATCTCGACCGCGTTCTCTGCTTTCATCCCGTGCAGGCCAACCACGGCCTCTTCCACGACCACCTCTTCCTCTGTAGTCTCCAGAATAGCCACGACCCCGTGGTTCAATCAACGCCCTGGGACCTCGGGGAGGCTCTCGGCGCGGGCCATCCGTAAAACCATCACGGTTTGACTGGAAGGCAGTTGTGTTCGACCTAGCTTCATTAGACGAGCGCCTCCTGTCAGCGTCAAAACGATCACCAGGCGAACGGTCTCTGGGTGAGAGAGACCTGCGGTCATACCGCGTGTACCTAGAGGCCCTAAGTAACGAGATGATATGTTAGACTGCGCCCTGGAAGATGAGGGTAAGAAAATCAAGAGGGGGCTGGCGGGACGCATAAGCAGACGTACATTGGTGGTAACAGGCCAGCAGGCTGGGCCTTGACGGGCTTCGACCTCAGCCAGCAATCCCATCCAGTCGTGCAACGGCGCGCGACTCGATGCGAGCTGGCTCCTTATCGAGACCAACACCGAAGTCGCCTTCGAATGGGGTGTACAGCGCGTATTCCTGGGCAGGAAAAGGTTGCCAAAGGGTGGCTGGCTCCAGGGCAGATGGACTTGGTGGATGTAGCCTTGAAATGCAACACGGCGGTTGCGGGCGTCCAACTGGGCGGATGGTACGGTCAGGCGGGCGAAAAAATGGGAGTCTTGGTGAGGTGTCGAACTCCAGGCGTGGCTCCTCCAGGGGGCCTGCCGTGCAACCGAATTCCGAGGCCGTCCGGATGATATGTACGATGGTAGCGTCGGCGACGGTTTGAGGCGCAAGTGAGTTTGGGCGGATGTGAGGGAGGGAAGAATTCGAGATGCAAAGGATTGGATACAACGACTGACCCCGGCCAGCCAGTCCAGCCCACGCACCGGTGCTAAACCACGTTCAGACGCGCCAGCATCTGAGACTTCGGCTACTCAGGACTGCCCCGGCCGCTGGGACATTTGATGTAGGACTAGTGTGGCTGGTGCCCCTGCAGCCTGGAGGCCAGTGCCTGTTGCAGCGAGTCGTGCCCCACTTGCCACCACCAGAAAGCTAAAGAGCCCTGGACCACCCGTTGGCAGAGTCAATCACAAAAGCCTGTGCCAATCATTTGCAGTAAAAAAGCTCGATGGGGCAAACTGCCGGCGCCGTTCTGGAAAATATGACAGGTGCCTAGCATTAATAAGTAGCACTAGAAATTCTAGCGAATCCTAAGAGACCTGACAGATTCTTGCTCCACGCCAAAGCTGTCTATAACACCAAATATACCTACCTGACCTTTCTCCCCTCCCCAGACGGTCATTCTTCAAAAGCAACACTAGGTAGCTTGTCTCGTTACCATGACCAACAATGTGAATCCGCCTCCCCAAGAGGCTGTAAACGCCCTGCCAGATGAGACTAGAAATGCAGTGCTCGTTCAGTCGGAGGCCATGCCAGAGGGCGCACCAAAAGTTGAGGACTTTGATTTCAACAAGTTCAAAGGCCGGGCTATAACTGCCGAAGATCTGTTACTAGGGATGCAGAATATGGGGTTCCAGGCTTCTTCCATTGGCGATGCTGTCAGGATTATCAATGGCATGGTATGTCCTCCCCTTCATTACTAACATAATGTGAAGGTGAAAGAAACATGTCGCTAAGATTCTGGTTAGAGAGAATGGAAAGATCCCGAGACAGGGGACAAGACCACCATCTTCCTAGGCTACACCTCCAACATGATCTCATCTGGTCTCCGTGGCGTCTTTCGTTATCTCGTGGAGCACAACCACGTCTCAGCCGTTGTCACAACAGCCGGTGGTATCGAGGAAGATTTCATCAAGTGTCTCGGAGACACCTACCTCTCCAACTTCAGCGCGCCCGGCTCCGAGCTGCGCAAGAAGGGCATGAACCGCATCGGAAATCTCGTCGTCCCGAATGCAAACTACTGCGCCTTTGAGGATTGGGTTGTCCCCATCCTGGATAAGATGCTTGAAGAACAGGAAGCCAGCAAGGGCACCGAGGACGAGATCAACTGGACCCCGTCAAAGGTCATCCACCGCCTTGGCAAGGAGATCAACGACGAGCGCTCAGTCTACTACTGGGCTTACAAGAACAATATCCCCGTTTTCTGCCCTGCTTTGACCGATGGTAGTCTAGGAGACATGCTCTATTTTCACACATTCAAGTCGTCTCCTCTCCAGCTGAAGATTGACTTGGTCGAGGATATTCGCAAGATTAACACCATGTCCGTTCGTGCCAAGAGGGCCGGCATGATCATCTTGGGAGGTGGAGTTGTCAAGCATCATATTGCCAATGCATGCCTTATGCGCAACGGTGCTGAGTCTGCTGTCTATATTAATACCGGACAGGAGTTTGACGGGAGTGACGCCGGCGCACGGCCAGATGAAGCAGTGTCTTGGGGTAAGATTAAAATGGACGCCGAGAGTGTAAAGGTGAGACAACCAACCAACCTCCAAGCCCTACACGTGGTGTCTGATCGACTCTTGTTTCTAGGTATATGTGGAGGCTACGACCTGTTTCCCATTAATAGTTGCGAACACGTTTGCGAAAAGTACCAGCGGAGCCAATTGATCAAAATAAATAGAAAGTCAATTCAAGTGGTGAAACGGATGCATACTTTTTTCCGCCCATCTAGTATGTGGATGTCAAAGCGACAAACCGGCTTCAGATTGAAACGACTATTTCGAACATTGCCTGCCGAGGGGCTTCACACCTAGGTTTCACCCAACCCCGGTTTGTCTTCCTCGGGGGCGGATAGCACTATGGTTGAAACTTGGCAATCCCTGCTTGATCACTCATTCTTAATGATTGCCATTTGCTTGGCTGTTGAGTTTTCCGTGGCCGTTAGCCTCGTCTTTGAGTTCTCCGTTGCCGTTTGCTTGATTGTTAAGTTGTCCATCTCCATCGGTTTCCATGGGCTCATTGCTCTCGCCCCCAGAACATCCTTGGACCCCACCGTTCAAGCCCTCTTTGCCATTAGTCTTGGCATTCCCTGCCTTGTCCCACTCACCCCTTGGGCGGAAACGCATCTTGTTAGCCAGTCGTCTCTTCTCCTTCCTCTCAAGCTCAATCTGCTCCTGCTCCATTTCCTCCCGAATCCTGACCACGTCGAACGGTTCCTCCCGCAGAGCCTCGATCGCCTTCTGGCCTTCGTCCAGGGTTGGCCAGTTCGCGGCCACGCCTCCCTTCCTGGTGAGCAGCCAGTCGACCACATCCCAGTTGTCGTGTGTTCCGTCGGGCCGCTTAACAGTCTGCGCTCCCTGGTCCCATAGTTCCTGGCAATTCTGAGCCCAGGGGGCTGGTAGGTGGCTGAAATCCGGGATCCCCGATGATCGGATCGCAGTGGGTGGTCGTTTCTCTGCTTGGTCGGCCGTGCCAGTCTCAGGGCCAGAGGCCTTCCTCTTCAGTGAATCCTCTCGCTGCATCGGGATATACGCTTGGAAGCGATTTCCTCTGGGGTTGTGACCGGACATGATCCTTAGTTGGAGCAGAGGCTTGCGATGTGAATAATCATGAAGAGACTGGAGTGCAGGTTGCTTTTCAAGTAGGGATAGCGTGATGTTCTTCTTGAGGTGAATAATGATCCACGTAGTCGTTTGCTTTTTAGATGTGTGCTGAGAACCAAAGATTGATCGGGGAAATTTAGGAGTGAGTTTTGAGGAAGAAGAACCACGCCTGACCCTCAGACCTGCAGTGGGGAGGTTATCTGCAAACAAACGAGGAGGGTGCAAGGAGATGCTGTGAATTTATTGTCTCCGGGACCTGAGATTAAATTCACCTCTCCTCGAGTCTTGCGGGGGGTGTGAAACTAAGAGAAAGCACTCGCGAACAATGTGGCGGGGTGTTTTGATTCAGGGTTGGTTTGTTCTATCACCCTGCGTGTGAGCCAATGGTGAGTGTGTTCTCATCCTCTTCTCGGATGGCAGGTACCGATCAGTTACCACGAATCGGTGTTCTACCTGCCGGTCTCTTGCGCGCAACCAGAATCCTGGCGAACTGGCCCAAAGTCATGCGGGCGCCCTTGGCTTCATGGCTGGTACAAAGTCGGTGCTGTGTTACGATCACTGTGCTGTGTAATAGTGACAAGGTACAAGATCTGAAAATTCATGCAGTCTTGTTCCTTCGTATTCCTTGAGTTTATAACGGGCACTAAGGTATTGCTGACAACAAAAAAAGTGCATATTGCAGAAGCGTAAGATTTAGGCAGCCTTCAAGTAGGCAACACTCGCGTCCGATTAGCCTTCCAAACGAACCAAAGCTACATTTAATTCCACATCATCCAGAGAAAGAACCCATCCAGAGTCATCCACAGTCACAGCTGAAAATGCTGGTCTGATGGTACTCAGATGACTATTGGCAGAACAACATCGAAATGGCACAGACACAACGACCTAAGAAGACAAGACAAGCCCCAGTCCCACTCACCACTGTCTCGCAACAAATTTCGCCTCTGATATGAAAAGCTTTCCGGTTATATTCTTTCAATCTTGACCAATGAGTCCCTTGAAGCTCTTCAGGGCAGCAGCCCAGTCGTCGGCACCATCATTCTCAGCCCAAGTGCCCACCTTATCAATGCCAGCCAAGTCACTACCCATATGACTCTCATTTGTGGTACCATTGAGGATAATGAGGCCTTCCAAACCCAGAACCAAGGCGTAGTAGGCTACCTCCCGGTCTACGCCAGCGAGTTGGGCCACGTCAAGTACCGGTTGGCTTTTAGCCAACTTCGGGTTCGCAGACAGAGTCCAGAAAGATTGGAAGATAATCCCGTGAGAATTACAGAATTCTCGAAGTTCCACCTCATACGCCGTTCCGTTGTAGAACCGGTTCTGCACTACGGCGGGTTTGACTTGGGCCTGCTCGTGAAGCCTCTTCAGGGTGTCGAGGTCGGTGTTGGAAATGCCCAGGTTACGGATGGTGTTGGGAGTGTACTCCTCCAGAGTTCTCCAGACAGCCAGAGTATCTCCAAAATCCTGATATGGGGAATGAATGACCACGCTATCTAGATATGGTGTCTGGTCGTCGACTTTGAAATTCTCAAGCGAGGACTGGAGCGACTGCCTGACTTGCTCTTGGATTGGCGAGTCGGTAGAGTAGGGCTTAATCTC